CAGTGATCTAGAAAAATAATGAAAAAGCCTGGTCAAATTATAGGTTGGAACGTGGAAAGCATCTAGTTAATTCAAACAACTAGAAGCACCGCGCATGGCATGCAGCTCTTGACTGCTGATTCTTAATTAAATATTCTTAATCATTTCTTCTACTTTAGTTAGGTCGTCATTATTGCTCTATATGTAAACAACATAATTAATTCTTCAACTTTTATGTGATAATAATAAAAAAAAAATATCAAGTTGGGAAAAAAATATATATACACATGAAGGTAATTGGTGCTGCTTAATTTGAGAGAAAGGGGTCCCCTAATCGCTTGGTAAGTGAGAGTTCTGTCACCATAGATACCAACATGCATGTGATTAATAAAGTAATAGGTTAAGAGTTGGGGTGGGCGGTGGTGGGGGGAGGTGAAGACACATTCAGACGGGGACCGACCCTGTTGAGGGAGATTTTCCACGATCTCCGGTGACTTGCATCCAAATTAGAGAAACACTAAACAATGACGGAGAATTAAATCATGTTGATTAAAAAAAAGACATTACTAGAGACAAGAGCCTCAAAGGGGGTCATGATGCAATCTCCACTGCCCATAAAGATCCGCGTATCCTCCTTTAACACCTTTTTTTTTTTCATCTCTCAGGAATTCTGTTCACACTGTCAAATGGCCATGCTCGTACAAAAATCATCAAGGAAACAAACAAGCAAGTTACAAAAAGCTTCACTTACTAATCTATCTTCCTTTTGCCATTCAGGTGTTCTTGATTCTGTACTGGTTCTTCCCCTGTTTCATTTACTCGTGCAAGTATCATTTTTTTATTTTTAAAATCATCTTTGTTTAGTTTTCATTTAATTGTAGATTTCAGTTGTCATTAAATCATCCAGTTATATCCCATTATATCATAGCAAAATTAAATAAAAACAAGCTAGAAATATATCGTAAAGATAAATACATGATTATTGGTTAGATCCCATTATATCATAGCAAAATTAAATAAAAACAAGCTAGAAATATATCGTAAAGATAAATACATGATTAGTGGTTATATCCCATTATATCATAGCAAAATTAAATAAAAACAAGCTAGAAATAAATCGTAAAGATAGATACCTGGTTTTATATGTTTTACCTTTTCCAGGTTAAGCAATCTAACGGTCACAGATGGTTCATACAGGATTGGTGGTTAAGATTAGAAAGTGGAGGGCAGGGCTTGAAATCTTATAACGTTCATGAAAATAGATTTGGGATTAAATTGTGTAATGATTTCTATCTTCGCCTCTGTCCCAAGTGTCCTCTAAAAAAAAAAGGGAAGAGAGTTCACTCGCTTTTATCCCCGTGACGGGTAATTTTGAATTCTATCTCCATCTTAAGCTAAACGAGCATGATTATTTACATCCATCCTTGTCCTTTTGGTCCGACACTCCAAACCAAACACTGTCTGATGCATATGGTTTAATTTATCTAGACTGACTTCGTCATCATCAACGTTAATCGCGTCGTCGTCGTCGTCGTCGTTTGGGGGAGGCAAAGGTTGCAAAGTTTTTAACCCGGGTCGGGGGACCATCATGTAGAGCATATTTCAAATTATTTACGAAATCAGGGGGGATTTTGACAAAGTCAGCGCCTTGGTTGCCTTCACGTGGTACATATTGAGCTAGAGACACTGCCATTCTCATTGAACAAGAAAACCAATGACATTAGCAAACATAAAGCATCCGAGATGGCACGCACAACTTCCCTACAACCAGTCTTCAAACCCAAAAGACCCATCAGATTATTAACTTTAAATACATCAGATCTTCTCTTGCTATTATATTCAATTTAGTGGTTAAACTTACGTCCCTTTTTGTTGATGTTAAGGTTTAAATATATTTGGGGTGTGACTGTAGTTATTTTTTAAAATATTTTTTATTTTAAAATTATTTTATTTTTATTTTTTAAAATTATTTTTAAAATCGGTATATTAAAAAATCTAAAATATATAAAAAAATAATAATAATAATAATAACCCGCATTTCCAAGCGCTCGTGGAATAAATATGTGCCACCTATAATATATAAATATTATAAAAAAAAATTGTGAGAGTTTTCACTATAACTCTAAATATATATTGTTATAGATTGTGATAATAAAATTTATTTGGGTATGGTATATAATTAAAAGAATCACGATGATTTTTAGTATTGTCATGTTGTCTTTTATATTATTTATTTAAAAAGTTGTTGGTGCATGTTACATACATCCCAATTAGTGGGCGATGTTCGTATTATTAAGGAGATATGCAAGATGCATCTCGACAGTCAAATCTAATTATTTATCGTCTAGACATATGCGCAAATATACTTTCTTCCACATCGTGCGATGCATATAAACATATCATGACTGGATTGTCATTGATTATAAATTACCTGTGTTTTTTCTTTCTCTTATCTCTCATGATAACTAAAATGCATATTTATCCTTTGTTTATTTATTGTTTGTTGTGGTCTATTTTAGTCGTCAAACCCAAGTGACGACTCTTGGATCTGGAATAGTTGGCAGACCTGGGAACTTATAAAAAATTAAAAAAATTAATTAAAATTTCAGTTTATGATACTTTAAAAATAATGTAATTTTTTTATAAAAGATAAAAAAATTATTTAGGATAGTTTAAATATTATTTTATAAAAAAATCAATTAAAATACATATTCATCCTCTATTTATTTATTGTTTGTTTCGATTTGATATAGCTGCCAAACCTAAGGGGCGGCTCTTGGATCTAGTATAACCTTCAAATCCAAGAGCCTATAAAATATTGAAAAAGTAAAATAAAATTTATATTTATGATACTTTAAGGATAGTGTAAATTTTTTTATAAAAAATAAAAATTATTTATAAAAAATTATTTAGGTTAGTTTAAATATTTTATAAAAAAATTAACTAGAGTCTTTGTTTATGATACTTTAAAGATAGTTTAAATATTTTTTTAATAAAAAATAATATATATATTAGGATTTCTATTTAGAATATTTCAATATAATTTAAACAATTTTTTATAAAAAATAAAAAAATAATTAACATTTTTGTTTCAAATACTTTTATGGTAGTTTAAATATTTTTTTATAAACAATAAAAATAATTTATTAAAAAATTAATTATAATTTTTTTAGGATACTTCAATAAGAATTTAAATATATATTTTATATAAAATATTTAATTAAACATGATAGTTAGGCTCAAGCATTACTTAGACCTAGCATAATATTAAGATTTAATATACTTAGATCTGTGGTGATTATCAGATTTTTTTGAGTTTGTTATGGCTGTCAAAGGTTTAGAAAATCTAGTATTAAGATAAGATTTATATTATTTGAGTTTGGTATTAATATTACTAAATATTTTCTAATTTTTTTTTAAAAAAAATTATATTTTAAAAAAATTATTACCATAATATATACTAAAATATCTATACCAAAATAAATATCAAGGCCTTATCGGAAGCGTATTCGTGCTCAATGGTGGGACCAAAAAAGGTTGGGATTTCTGGGAAAGGTAGGTTCCGCTCCAGTCCCCTGACTGACTTGACGAGCTGCCAATTAGTATCATCACACGCGGCAATAGGTTATGAAAACCAGCGTACACCAGGTGTTAGTCGAGTGTAAAACCATTGCAAATGCACTGCACGCTGTGTGAAGCTACCGAAACCATGTTAGGAGTTTGACAGCCATGCACTAATAATCCGTTATTAGTCTAAAATCCCATGACAACGTCCATCCAAACATGTTTGGTTAACGTTTTCGAAATCGTATTTTTTTATTTAAAATTATTTTTGTGTTTTTTTTTATCATATTAGAATATTTATTTATTGAGGAAAAGAAGGCTAGGACCCCGCAAAACACGCTACGAACATCAAGTCTTTCTTAGGTGCAAGTGCAACAACTTCTGACCTAAGTGCTTATTAATTATTTATTTTCCTTCACAGAGGTGAAGGGTCTTTGACACCACTTAAGTTACGGCAAGAAAGAGAAACATTAAACAGAGGCTCAAAAAGGATAGCTCGGTCCCGATGTGGAAAGACAAAGAATGTTGACAAAACAAGCGGTCCATTCTCTCACTCCAACAAAATTAATTAACTTTTTATGGCATTTGCCAACATATTGCGTTTGAAGAAATCAAAGATAGATCATGAACTTGTCCATTAGCTCATAGAAGAGTCCAGATTCAATTTGGTTGCTCATAATGACGATAGTGCCACTAATAATGACATGAAAGAACTAAACCTTGATTCCGTCACAGAAGTGATTAGATTATAACCTAAATTAAAAGGATAGAGCGACGAGCTGGAAGCTTTGTATAAATGAAATCATCTGGGATATACTGCGAGAAGTTTTGGGAGTCCAGAAGATTCTTAAACAACTCGGCATTGGAGACAGATTGGTAGGCCTACCAGCATAAAAATTGCGGGGAGAGAGAGGGGTTGGTGTACTTGGGGGCCACGAGAGAAAAACAGCTATAAATCAAGCAAGAGAATCGAAAAAAATTAGATATAAATACAAAAATGGCCGCATTTTTATCCAAAGTATCTTTCGTTTATGAGCGTTTATTAATCATGCTATTGCGTTAATTTACAAAGTTAGAAGAAAAATAAAATGCTTATAATATTTTTCAGGGGAAAAGGAGAGGAGGGAGGGGCGGGTAGGGGAGAGACAAAGGAGGAGGAGGAGGAAGAGACAAAGGTGAGAGACGAGGATGTAGAAGGAAGCAATGGTTGTTGCATCGGTGGAGAAAAGATAAAAGGAAAGGAGATGGGTGGAGGGAGAAATGAAAGGGAAGGAGACAGGAGAAAAAGGGAAACTTCTTGGCGATTCAATGTTTTACACGAAATTGAAAATTTTGAATGAATAAAAGGAAGGTATTTTAAGCTAAAATAGAGTTAGTGATACCTCAACAGTTCAGTAACGGTAACCTTAACGCGAGCTATAAACGAACTTTTTTTTTTTAAAAAAGGACTATTCATATAGCTTCTTGAAACCATAATTTACTCATAAAAAAAATACACTAGTCTATACAGTGAAAATAGTACAAATACGATAAGGCATCTACGTACACATATCACATGCACGGATTGATTTTCTTTTTACACAGAAACCTGAAAATTCATCATATTTCACAAGGGTTCAGTCAGTCAGAACAGTACAAGGTTTCTCGTAAAAGACATGGATGAATCGGTGCAAGCTCGCTCGCCCAAAATTAAACTCAGTTTATCCGGAAGAAGTCCTGGAATATTATTCTCTGTACACCAATGGACACCTTTTTAGTAACAGAAAAAGGCCAAATACAACTGGTGGCCGTCCAAGTGTCTTCATCCGTATTTTTCCATGGCCAAGACACCAAACCTGCCGTACCCTTCATGGACCACTACTACGAGATCAAAGTTCGAATTATTCTTCCCTAGTGGCCATGGAAAAACACTGGGATGAAAAGAAGCCAGCAACCTGCAAGGGGAAAGGTAAAAAAACGAGCCCTCCTCTTTTATATCATAACATAAGACACAGCAAGTCAGACAAAAAATTTTATGCACTGGGCAAATCAGACACTAAATACTGCCATGCCTTCTTCTAAATAGACGTGCAAACAGGTCTAACTGTGTTTTTGCAGTCAGCAGCAAAGAAGCACAATAACGGTAGGAAAAAAGGCCTGTTGAAAGATCATCTGCCGCAAGCAAGTCCCGTGAGAGCGTCTACCTGTTTGAAGCACAGTTTGGACCGTGGTACAGGATGGAGAATTTGGTGGGGCTTAGCACCGTATACCAAAGTATAAATTCCAAGAGAGTTGTACAATGACAAAGGATGCTAGGTCATGGTCATTGATTATAGTTCTACTTTAACCCCTAACTGAATTATCTTATAAAGTTCTCGCATGAAAAAGAATGCTAGGTAGAATATAGGATTTTAACTAGAACATTTTTCTTCTTGTATGATTGCATTGCACCAGAGATTAGTGCATACTTCAATTTTGAAAGCAAATAAGACAACATTGCATTAGACAGATTTCAATCCAACTTGGAAAGAGAGAATACAAGATGCACCCTTCATTAATAACCAACAAAAGCCTCGGACAACTTTAACACAAAAGGACTGAAACAGCAAGAAAGAAGAAAGAAAGAATTGCCACTTGGCAAGGGTGAGAAATCTGCTATCTTACAGCTTCACAAGCAAAACTTGAGAGAAATTAATGACTCAAGATGCAGATATACCATCCCTCTTCAGCAATTCCTACAAAAGCAGATATCAAAAGATTAGTGTATAGCAACTGATGCAATTTCTTCAACCTATTCATCTTTACATCACAACATATACCAGTTTGGTAGCAGCAACTGACAGATGTTGTCTTTCTTTTTTCTCACGTCGGCAATCTCCACACCAGCTGGAAAAATCATTTTGATGTTTCTTCAGCTCTCGAAAAACTGAACTGAAAAGTATTAAAAATAGCCAAGAAAAAAAATTAAGGACAGACAATTCAGCAAACAGCTTGAACTTCAATGCTACCAAAGCACCAAACCACTAAGAGCAAAATAAGATAAAGTTTGCAGCTCTCACGCAAGACAGCATTAACAAAAATTAACTTCCTCTATATTTCTGCTCATCTAAACCATGAAGCGCATTGTCTCATCCTCTAAGCCCCAACATGCGGCATTTAGAGTGTTTGTTTTATAGTTATTTCATAAGGTAGAATTAGAAAATTAGCTAGTATTATACCTCTGATTTCAAGGTTTGCATTTCAATCCCGGTCAATGCAGTAACTGTATTGGGAAGGAATCATGAATGGATGTTAAAAGGAACCCTGAGAATTAAATTCTCTGAGATTCCATGCTAGTTCAAAACTATGCCACCACTGCGACAAAGAAGTTGCACCTAAAGTGGAGCCCTTTTATGCAAAAGAGGGGATGCTAAGTGCAAGAACAAAGGAGAGGAAAAAGATACCTTCTGCACCATATAACTAAGTTGACCCGGTGCCCAGAAATAGTCGCTCTTGCACCATGCCGATGGCGACCTCGATGAAGAACTGCTCGTCCCGGAATGTGGGCATAATCAAAAACCTCCTATTCAGAATAAGGTGAATAAAAAACCCCAAATCACATAAAGCTCTAGTTACCTAGAATTTTTCAACAATCTAAAATTTCCTGTCATAAAGGAACAAAAATACCCATTAGAAAAACAAAAATACCCATTAGAAAAGAAGGCGGCTCTAATTAGTTAAAACTTCCTTTTTACCCTTCTCTCTCTAGATTAATAAATAAAGTCTCATCCTACTGAGCATCTTGAACAATTCCAGAAAACAAGAAGCACACAACCATTAGCTTAAACTAGTTGTCATGCCCGCACGCTGCCGTAGGTTTATAGCATGTTTGTGCAATCCAAAATGTTTTCATAAAATATTAAACTACAAAGCTAAATTTTCAACCAACTTAATATTAAAAAAATAAAATAGATAGATAATTTTGAAAAAAATCATAAAAAATAAAAGGAAAAAAAATCATGTAGGGAA